AGAAGACAGGAAGAAGAGAAGACAGGAAGAAGAGAAGACAGGAAGAAGAGAAGACTGGAAGTAGAGGAGACAGGAAGTAGAGAAGGCAGGAAGAAGAGAAGACAGGAAGTAGAGAAGACAGGAAGAAGAGAAGACAGGAAGAAGAGAAGACAGGAAGTAGAGAAGACAGGAAGTAGAGAAGACAGGAAGAAGAGAAGACAGGAAGTAGAGAAGACAGGAATCAAAGAAGACAGGAAGAAGAGAAGACAGGAAGTAGAGAAGACAGGAAGAAGAGAAGACAGGAAGTAGAGAAGATAGGAAGAAGAGAAGACAGGAAGAAGAGAAGACAGGAAGAAAGAAGACAGGAAGAAGAGAAGACAGGAAGTAGAGAAGACAGGAAGAAGAGAATACAGGAAGTAGAGAAGACAGGAAGTAGAGAAGACAGGAAGAAGAGAAGACAGGAAGAAGAGAAGACAGGAAGAAGAGAAGACAGGAAGAAGAGAAGAAAGGAAGAAGAGAAGACAGGAAGTAGAGAAGACAGGAAGAAGAGAAGACAGGAAGAAGAGAAGACAGGAAGAAGAGAAAGACAGGAAGTAGAGAAAGAGAGGAAGAAGAGAAGAGAGGAAGAAGAGAAGACAGGAAGTAGAGAAGACAGGAAGAAGAGAAGAGAGGAAGAAGAGAAGAGAGGAAGAAGAGAAGAAAGGAGACAGGATAACATTAACACATCAGGCAGTGAAATTGGAAAAGTTATAAGTTCTGGCAGCATTAGAAGGTGTAGTACCTTGTATGGTGTGAGCAACAAGGTCACTGTAAGACCACTAGTGTAGTGTGAGCAACAAGGTCACTGTAAGACCACTAGTGTGGTGTGAGCAACAAGGTCACTGTAAGACCACTAGTATAGTGTGAGCAACAAGGTCACTGTAAGACCACTAGTATAGTGTGAGCAACAAGGTCACTGTAAGACCACTAGTATAGTGTGAGCAACAAGGTCACTGTAAGACCACTAGTGTGGTGTGAGCAACAAGGTCACTGTAAGACCACTAGTGTGGTGTGAGCAACAAGGTCACTATAAGACCACTAGTGTAGTGTGAGCAACAAGGTCACTGTAAGACCACTAGTGTAGTGTGAGCAACAAGGTCATTATAAGGTGACCTTGTTGCTTAGGTACAAAGGTACAAGTTACGGGAGCAAGACGGCCCCTGTAGGAAATCTTGAAAACGGAAACAGTTCAATATTGAAACAAGGGGACAGATATACACGCAACACTCAACCAAGTATACTTGGCGTGTATATAAAGTATACAGTGTATCCTTAATATACACGCCGAATATACAACCACTGGTAGGCCGGGGGGGGGGAATAATGGTACAACAGCCCTCCTAGATACAAATACAGTGGACCCCCGCATAACGATCACCTCCGAATGCGACCAATTATGTAAGTGTATTTATGTAAGTGCGTTTGTACGTGTATGTTTGGGGGTCTGAAATGGACTAATCTACTTCACAATATTCCTTATGGGAACAAATTCGGTCAGTACTGGCACCTGAACATACTTCTGGAGTGAAAAAATATCGTTAACCGGGGGTCCACTGTATATATTTTTTCCAATTACTGGTTACTTTTGCCTCCATTAGAACATAAGAAAGGAGGAACACTGCAGGAGGCCTACTGGCCCATACTAGGCAGGTCCTTCTCATACCGAAACCCTACTAACAAAAATATTTCCCCAACCTATTTAACACTACTGACCCATATTTAAGTCCCACTTGAATGTCACAATGGTATATAATTCTACTGTCTTGAAGTTATGTCCTGGAATCTGTATTGATAAAGTCGCTTTAGGGCGAAACGTCTACGATGAAGATACCCAGATGTTGAACATGTGTCTTAAGTTTTATTTTCTTCAGTCGAGTACAGAAAAGTAGGCAGAAGCAGTAGAGATGTAGTCAGTCCTTCAGTCTTGAAGACGTAGTTATGAGGTGGTCAGTCCCGCTGTCTTGAAAGGATTTAGGGACTGATTACCGCAAAGTCCTCGTCTTCCATCTTGTTCTGCATTGGACTGAAGAAGTCTACTGTTGAGGTGAAACGTTTCAACAATAAAGATACCCAACAATTGGGTATCTTTAATGAGGAAATGTGTCGCCACACAGTGGCTTCATCAGTCCATACGAAGGAGAATCGTTAAGAACAGGAGGAGTTTGAGGTAATCAGTCCCTCAGACTTGAGTCGATGTAATCAGCCCTTTGTATGGACTGACGAAGCCACTGTGTGCGAAACGTTTCCTCATGAAAGATACCCAAGTGTTGCACATTTGTCTTAATCATCAACTTGTCGGTATTTTATGCAATTTTCAACAAATTCTAGACTATTATGAGCTGCAACTTGCAACATGGTCTGAAGTTCTCTCTGCAAAGTGCCGGATATTGTGAGTTGTTCCGGCCACCATGTTGTTGATTCACGAAATCGTAATAACACGAATGTAAACAAATCGTGTTATTACGATTTCGTCAGACGTGAAGGTAGTTTTGAAGGGACTTGAGCTAGACACAGGAACCTAAAGTCAGTACCTGACCAGCCGGGCTGTGGTTCGTACGTCAGTTTGCGTGTGACCAACAGTAGCAGCCTGGTTGATCAGACCCTGATCCACCATGAGGCCTGGTCTTAGACCGAGTCGCGGGGGCGTTGACCCCCGAAACCCTCTCCAGGTAAACTCCAGGTAAACAGAGCACGACACGGTCACACTATTGTGGGAATCATCTGTAAAACCCAACATTTGTGGCCACAGTGGTGGCCCATGTTAACCTTCCTATGATGTATAAATATACCTACTTGGATGACTCTTACTGTAGCCAGCTAGTCCAGTGGTTAGCGCACTGGCCTGGAGTTTTACTACTCACTCAGGTAAAGTTTGTCAGGAAACAGGACAAGTGTTTCCTCACGCGGGTCTTAGATGACCCGCCGTTGGAGCTTTTGGTCATCTGACAGAGGCCTTTCGCTGGCTTACCCCTCCACCCCTTTAAAAATTATGGTCATAGTTATAACACTTTGACTCACTCGCCACGGGTTTAACCCCCACCCGTTCCCTGATTCACGATGTTGTTACTTTTATTGTTCCTTGTAGATTATGAGAAAGTATGTAACAGTATCTCAAATTAAGCTTACTTCTTAAAATGGAAGAACAAATAGAAATAACAGGGAAGATATATTGATGAGTGGGAGAATACTGTAAAGGAAAGAGAGAGAATGATACTCAGGGAGGTGGTGAGATGGAGGTGTTGGGATGGAGGTGTTGGGATGGAGGTGTTGGGATGGAGGTGTTGGGATGGAGGTGTTGGGATGGAGGTGTTGGGATGGAGGTGTTGGGATGGAGGTGTTGACATGGAGGTGTTGGGATGGAGGTGTTGGGATGGAGGTGTCGGGATGGAGGTGTTGGGATGGATGTATGGTGATGCAGGTGTCAGGACGAGAGGCGTCCCCCAGGGAGTCATCATGGGACTCACTATTCCTTACATACATACATAACATCTAACAAGGTAGTCCCACACACACACGCCACTTACCACACAATGAACCTAACATCGAGATAGATTCAATACCGGATAAGATATCGTAATGTTATATGTAAAAAAAAGACACGAACAGACTTCAGAACAGGTCGGACGGGTAACACTGGACTTTGACCCCAGCAAGTGCAAGGTTATTAAAATCTGGAAAGTGGAGAGGAGAGGAGAATAAAGACAGAGGAATGGAAGACAGAGGCTTCAAATATTAAAGAAGGTAGAGGTTTCAGAGGTCAGCCATGGAAGTGGATAACCTCTGTCAAGACTGAGGGACTGAACACCTCAGATATCTTCTTTCAAAGACCCCCAGTGGAACTAAGTCACTTTCTCTGACTGGATTATCCTTGGTAATTCACACTACGTATGATAATTGTACTTATGCGTACCTGTGCCTAAAAGTTATTGTGTCTAGTATATCACTCGCCTCTGTACTCAACTGAAGAAGCCTGCTGCGCAGGAGAAACGTATCGGAAAATAAAAAAATCAGTGTGTTACACATGTGTCTTATACATCACCTTGTCCACATCATGTACCATTACTGTCATCACAAACGCCAGAATCACACAACAGTTGAGAAAAAACAACAGTGTATATGTGTCTGGAGAAATTAAGATCGAATCCTTCCGAACCATCAATGTGATTCATGTTAGACTTATCAGAGTATGCAGCACCAGCATGGAACCTTCGTCTGAGCACACATACTCAACAACAAGAGATAATCCAGTCACTTCGAGAGTAATCTCTGCACTAACAGAAATTACCTATAAATACTAAAGAAACTAAATCGTACGACACCAGAATATAGGAGATTCAAAGAGGCTACAGTAGCAAGTACGAGATTCAAAGAGGCTACAGTAGCAAGTACGAGATTCAAAGAGGCTACAGTAGCAAGTACGAGATTCAAAGAGGCTACAGTAGCAAGTACGAGATTCAAAGAGGCTACAGTAGCAAGTACAAGGTACTCATATGACAGAGCCGAGACAGACTGAAAGGGTCTGAGGGGCTACAGAAGGAGACTGAGGGGAATGTAGGAGATTGGATATAGAAGGGGACTGACCGGATTTAGAAGAGGACTGACTGGATATAGAAGAGGACTGACTGGATGTAGAAGGGAACTGACTGGACATAGAAGGGAACTGGCTGGATATAGAAGGGGACTGAGGAGATACAGAAGGTAAGCTACAAACTCATATAAGTGAGAGGTTGTAAGAAAGGTCGTTCACTCAAGAGTCGTTACAAGTGGATGAGAAAGTCGTGGAACGGACTCTCCACACAGAGGTAAGAGTAGGTATGAAATGGCAGGCACTTCGATGGAGCCACGAACCGATAACTGGCCCCCCATAGTCCCAGTTAGGCGAGTACAGAGACACCAGCACTGCCACCATCAACACTACCACACACACTACCACCATTACACAAGGCCCACCATTATCACCACACGGGTCCCAAACACGTTACCATTATGGTTGAACTGTTGAGTCTGTACACGTTTCCTCCACACAAGTCTTGTCTCCTACCTTCTGTAAGTCTCCTGTATATATACCCTCGTGTTCTCCCTCCTCCAGCCTCCCTCCCTCCCTCCCTCCCTCCATCCCTCCAAGGCTGCACTGAACTTCTCTCTACTCTCAAGGACGTTTACAGTATTTTTTCCACCCTCCTATTTTTTCCAGACTTTAAAACCTTTTTCTCAGGTACTAGTCTAGTCTAATTCACTTCAGCCATTTTTTTTTCTGGTTAACGAGGGACAGCAGCTGTAACCTGACTTATTTTTAACCACCATAACGGCAGATTTGGTTAATAACCTAACATTAACCAGAACAATAGTGTTATTGGGGTTACCAGTTCACTCAGCTGGTGACGACAGTATTATTATTATTATTATTATTATTATTATTATTATTATTGTTGTTGTTTTTTTGGTCATTGTTGTAAAATATTATTGCAAATAATATTATCATTATTATTATTGTAATTATTATTATTATTTTCAATAAACTGGCCATGTCCCACTGAGGCAGGGTGACCTGAAAAAAAAAACCAAAGTTTTTCTTTTAAATTTTAGTAATGTATATAAGAGAAGGGGTTACTATCCCCTTGCTCCCGGCATTTTAGTCGCCTCTTACGACACGTATGACTTACGGAGGAAGAATTCTGTTCCACTTCCCCATGGAGGTAAGAGGAAATAAACAAGAACAAGAACTAGTAAGAAAATAGAAAACCCAGAGGTGTGTGTGTATATATATGCTGGTACATGTATGTGTAGTGTGACCTAAGTGTAAGTAGAAGTAGCAAGACGTACCTGTTATCTTGTATGTTTATGAGACAGAAAACACACCAGCAATCCTACCATCATGTAAAACAATTACAGGATTCCGTTTTACACTCACTTGGCAGGACGGTAGTACCTCCCTGGGCGGTTTATCATTATTATTATTATTATTATTATTATTATTATTATTATTATTATTATTATTATTAACACCGCAGGGAAGTGCTAAATTAGTAGGGGCCATAAAGCGACTGGGGAACGGGAGGTAATGAGATTTGGTCCGAGGAAGTGGAGAACAGCTCCAATTCCAGGTATGAAGAGCTCTTCGCCGGCGTCAAAGCGCTCTCTCTTGACTAGTTGGTTAATAAAGTTTCAAGCCGGTCGACTACACTAGAGTCATTAAGGCTGCACCTGACCTTATCACCACCAGGCAATACTTTGGTACCTAAAATAAGGATTAAATTATCAGTGTATATGAGTGTATATACAGAAACACACCTCGCAGTGTATATACACTTAAAAATACACCTCTCAGTGTATATACACTGAGGCCTTAATTGAAGGAAGGTCCTCAATACACTACCTTGAGCGGCTAGTGAACCTGGGTTCACCCGAAGCCGGAAGCGAACCTGGTTTCACTTACACGCTGACTCAGCGAACCTTTGAGATATAACAAGTCTAGCACTGCGTCAAGAGATCATATACAGAGGCTTGCTGGGGATCCCCAGCAACTTGCCCCCACAAACCTACTATCCTTGACAAAAAACATGTCATAGACGTGGTTCATGGCAGAGAAGGACAAAGGAAATGCCTCTTGTTATTACTGAAAAGTGGAATACAAGATTTGAAGCACTTCCTCTCAGAGGGACTTTCCCCAGAAAAACTGTTTTAAAGATTAAGACACATGTACTACAGCTGCGTATCTGATGAAACATTTCGCCTACACAGTAGGCCTCTTCAGTCAGATACAGCGACAGCAGATGTAGTAGTGAAATGAAGACGGTTTGAGGTGGTCAGTTAGGGGACTGACCACCTCAGGTACTTTTTCTCCATGGTTGATGTATTGATACATCTTTATTGCATTATTACTACCTTTATATTTGACTGAAGAAGTCTACTGGATAGGCGAAACGTTTCATTAATAAAGATACCCAACCAAGCCCCTATCACGCGCCTTCAGCATTTTATGGAGAAGGAGCATGGACACAGAGGTCATCCCACACACACTGAAAACAACAGACATAACCACACTCCACAAAGGGGGCAGTAAAGCAATAGCAAAGAACTATAGACTGATAACACTAACATCCCATATCATAAAAGTCTTTGAGAGGGTTCTAAGAAGCAAGATCGCCAACCACCTAGATACCCATCAGTTACACAACCCAGGGCAACACGGGTTTAGAGAAGGTCGCTCCTGCCTGTCCCAGCTACTGGACCACTATGACAAGGTCCTGGATGCTGTAGAGGATAAACAAAATACAGATGTAGTATACACAGACTTTGCAAAAGGTTTCGACAAGTGTGACCATGGTGTAATAGCACACAAAATGCGAGATAAAAGAATAACGGGAAAAGTTGGTAGAAGGATCTACAACTTCCTGACAAATAGAACACAAAGAGTAATAGTAAACAGAGTAAAATCCCAGGCAGCCACAGTAAAAAGCTCTGTTCCACAAGGCACAGTACTCGCTCCCATTCTATTCCTCATCATATCTGACATAGACAGAGATGTAAGTCATAGCTCCGTGTCTTCCTTTGTGGATGACACCCGAATCACCATGGTAGTGACCTCCATGGAAGACACTGCGAGACTCCAAGCGGACATCAACCAAATCTTCAAATGGGTCACTCAAAGCAATATGAAGGCCAACGAGGAGAAATTTCAACTACTCAGATATGGAAAACTTGAAGAAATTAAAAATGTATCAGGGTATACAACAAATTCTAACCATACAATAGAGTGGAAAAGTAATGTGAAGGATCTGGGAGTGATAATGTCAGAGGATCTCGCCTTCAAAGACCACAACAATGTATCTACCTCATCCGTTAGGAAAATAATAGGATGGATAATGAGAACCTTCAAAACTAGGGACGCCAAGCCCATGATGATTCTCTTTAAATCGCTTGTGCTCTCTAGGCTGGAATACTGCTGTACACTAACGGCCCCCTTCAAGGCTGGCGACATTGCAGACCTGGAGAGTGTACAAAGAACTTTCACGGTATACATAAGTGCGATAAGGCACCTAAACTACTGGGAACGGTTGAAGGTCCTTGATCTGCATTCCCTCGACCGCAGGCGAGAGAGATACATGATAATATACACTTGGAAGGTCCTGGAGGGATTGGCACCAAACCTGCACACTCCCTATGAAAGCAAAAGACTAGGCAGGAGATGCAACATTCCCCCGATGAAAACCAGGGGTGCCACGAATACACTGAGAGACAACACAATAAGTGTCCGGGGCCCAAGACTGTTCAACTGCCTCCCAGCATACATAAAGGGAATTACCAATAGACCCCTGGCTGTCTTCAAGAAGGCACTGGACAGGCACCTAAAGTCAGTACCTGACCAACCGGGTTGTGGTTCGTACGTCAGCTTGCGTGCGGCCAGCAGTAACAGCCTGGTTGATCAGACCCTGATCCCCCATGAGGCCTGGTCTCGGACCGAGTGTCGGGGGCGTTGACCCCCGAAACCCTCTCCAGGTAACTGTTGCACATGTGTCCTAATCTTCAAAACTATATTATATTCATGGGGAAGAGGTAAACTAGTATGGGTCATATAGCGCCTACGAAACAGGTCATCAGGCTGGACGGAAAAGAGATTACAATACCGAATTGCGGTGAGTTGATAATTCAATATGGGTCATACAGTGCTTGCGGAATGGGAGGTGGTGAGGCTTGATCCGAGGAAGTAGTGGAGAGATCCAGTTCCTGGGATCTAGAGCCCATAACCAGTGAGAGAGAATACTAATGATAAACTTTTCTCAACTGTTCGAACATTAGAAAGGAGCACTGCAGCAGGCATACTGACTCATGCGAGGCAGGTCCAACACACCCCCTCATGTATTTATCTAACCTATTTTTAAAACTACACAACGTTTTAGCTTCAATAACTGTACTCGGGAGTTTGTTCCACTCGTCCACAACTCTATTACCAAACCAGTGCTTTCCTATATCCTGCGAGTCCTGTCTTCGCTAGATATTTTCAGCACGCTATTTACATCCCTTTTATTTATTATTGTCTTCCATTTATACACCTCAATCATATCATCCCTGATTCTACGCCTTTCTAGAGAGTGCAGATTCAGGGCTTCAGTCTATCCTCATAGGGAAGATTTCTGATACATGGGATCAACTTTGTCATCCTCCTCTGTACGTTTTCCAGAGCATTTATATCCATTCTGTAATACGGTGACCAGAACTGTGCAGCATAGTCTAAATGAGGCCTGTTAGGTAAGACACATATGCAACAGTTAGGTATCTTTATTTCGATCGAAACGTTTCGCCTACACAGTAGGCTTCTTCAGTCGAGTACAGCAAAGTTGATAGAAGCAGAAGAGACTTGAAGACGATGTAATCAGTCCATCACCCATGAAGTTTTGAGGTGGTCAGTCCCTCAGTCTGGAGAAGAGTATTGTTCCATAGTCTGGAACAATATGGAGTTGAAGTGAAAGGATGGAGCCTTATATAGCGCCAGGAGGTGAGACGTAGGTCCCTCGGTAGACAGCATCTCCAAGATCCCCAACGCCTCATCTATGCTAAAGATTACATTCTCAGACATCTTCATGGCTGCCCAAGCTCTCTCTGACGGTCTGGCCATATCATATTACCACATTCACCCAAGTCATATAGAACAAGAACGTTTCACATACATCTCTCACTGCTGGACCTGCTACTCCTATAATCACACCACCAAGGACTGCTCTACCAAGGATAAGAAGTTTTGTTCAAAATGTGGGAATGATGGACACGATTTCAGATCCTGCACCATTACTACAGCACCAACTTGTCTTAACTGCAAGGGTAATCATCATACCCTTGCAGCTAAGTGCCCACTCAGGAAAGAAATCATATTGAAGAAAACTAAAGTTCTGAAGAACACCTCCAATTCACCGACATACGCTGCAATAACCAAACCACAAACCGACACCACCAAGACTCTACACGCTAATCTACAGGCACCATCGCCCAGCAACTCCCTCTCTCCACTCCCAGACGGTGCTCCCTCCAAGGTACT